ATCCCAGACCGTGGCCATGCTGGGCCAGTCCGGCCTGGGTTAAAGGCCGGACCTTTGGAAAGGCCGACGGTTGGCTCCAGCAAACCGGTTTTAGACCCGCGCCTGCAACTGCAGGCCCGGAGCGGTAAACCGGCCCAAATGTTGTTCGTTTGAGCCTGGCGGCCGAGGATTGAGGCGGCCGATTCCTGCGGGTCTGATCTGAACCGCTGATCAAGTGGGACGGTCCAGATCACGGCGCGGTTTCACCAGCAGCCAGGCCAAACAGGCCACCGCGGGTACTTAGGAACAGCCAATGGTCTCTTCGGGACAGACTCGGAGGCACGACATTGAGGAAGCAGCGCTGCGCTATTTTGGTTAGCGCAGCTCCAGGCAGTAGCGCTTGGTTTAGCCCTAGCTGCAGAGGCGAGAGCGAGAGAGAAACGACTTTCCTGCTACCTACCTGAGAGCACCATAGCTGCAGCGACGAGGGCAAGTCTTCAGCAGCTCCAAGGTGGCACCTTGCACCTGCAGGTTGGTGCCTGGACACTGGATCAGGGCAGGAGGATCTTCCTCCGCCCCACCTCTCCATCTCCACCTTCTCCTCTGGCCCTCTCGGTTCTTCTTCCTCTCGGTTCTTCTTCTTCTTCATCATCTTCTTCTAACCTTCTACATTCTCGGTTACTATGGGACAGAGATCGATGGTGACATTGGTTTAGTTCTGAGTACAGAACCTGTGAGAAGAAGACAGAAACGAATGTGCGCGTGACGTGGCCCTGGAATATAAGATTATCGTTCTGGCAGTTTTTTGTTTGCAAGTGCACGATCATCCAAACTACCCATGGACCCATACACACTATGACCTCATGTGATGACTAAATTACAGAGATACCCGCGCACCTTTACTTTTGCTCACACCAGCGCCTCCAGGACTGTAGACAAGAACACTTTTCCCAGCACCGTTCTATTTCACGAGGGGAAGCAACACAACCCAATACTACTGCCCAATCACATCAAATTCTGCCTAAGACTCGCACATACCGTGTCCAAGAAGCCAGCAGGAGAACATACAGACCATGAGATGTGAGGCCATCAGCGCTCTATATCTGTCACACAGTCTCACACTAGCACAGCCTGTCGCACACTACAACTACCCACGATATCTGAAGGGCCATGTCACATAACCCCAGGAAGGGGTGGTAACACCCTCATTTTTTTTTCATTTTTTTCGTTTTCTTAATTTTTTTTTTCTTTTTTTGTTTCACCCGTATGGGGGATGGGCCGCGCTACGCTTCGCTGCAGTGCAATACGAAGGCAACACTGAAGGGACCGAGCAGGCAAGCCTGCCCTTATGGCCCCTCCGTAGCCCTAAAAAATAATTTAATATCCTGTGACCCGATGTGCCACAGATCAGATATTAAACCACCAGTACTTGGGCACTGCGCGCCGCGCCGCGCCGGCCGCCCAAATCTCGAAGCAGCGCGGGCTGTCGATTCGATTTATCGACGGCCCGCCGGCCGCGGAAATCGCGTAGCGTTAACGCTAAGGCGTCGCCCAAGTACTGGTGGTTTAAACTGATCAGACGTTCAGAACAGATACTACACTTAGCCAAAAGGCAGAGAAAGGTGTCATTTTTTTTCATTTTCTGTTATGGCAACTCTCACAATTTCTTGCAGCCAGTTCCCTTCCTGCAGAGAGTGGCTCTGAGCTGCTCCACTTAACATTTTGAATGTATTTAGAATGATACTGGTACCGTATGCATTCCATTCAGAAGGATGTCCTGGCGTCCCTCTCTGACGGACTCCGTCTTTTTTTTTTTTTTTTTTTTTTTTTTTTTTTTTTTTTTTTTTTTTTTTTTTTTTTTTTTTTTTTTTTTTGTAACACAAGCTCCATCTATTGGTGGGGAGCAACACCTGCTGGAAACCGGGTCCAGCGTCCCATTGAATTTTCTTTCCCTTCTCTAAAGTTTCACTTTGAACTTTCACTGCCTACCTAGACACTACCCCTAAGCCTACCTTCTTCACCCGAAGTCAACGTACGGTCATTATAGCTGTATGTGAGGCATCTTTCAGTCTAGATACAGCTATAATGACCGTACGTTGAAGTCGGGGGAAGAAGGTAGAGCAGGACGCCCCTGTAAGCACAGCCACCTCTCACAATGAAGGGGATGTATGTTCACCCCCACCCCCCCTCATTGGCGATGAATAGCTTAGGCCGGCTGCCAAGGGTGCCCACATGCTTTGGCCATGGGTACCCACATGCGCGAAGACGAGGGATATTGCCGGCAGCAGCACATTGTCGTCTGCCGGGGCACAGATCCCAGTTTTAAGCATGTGCTTATGGGCTCATGTTCAGGCCGAACTTCATCAAATAGCTGCCACTTCCCATATGGAAAGTCTTTTCCAATGGATTGACATTCATACTCATTCAAAGTTCATTAAAATGTTGGGGGCCGCGCGGACGCGTGCCCCCGCTACCACAAAATAATGCCGTAGTAATACCACTGTGGGTATGACTTAGGCCAGGCGAGTCCCAAAGTGCAATGGGAGACCCTGCAACCTAGGCCGTCCGCCTTTCTAATCACGGATATGCCCCGGCCAGGTAAGTATGCAGAGTGATGGGAATTTGCGCATTATATACCATTGCAGTATGGAGTGCGCAGAAGACAAGAGAAAAGAAACCGCTGCTGCCGTTGGGGTTCGGAAAGGAGCAATAGTTATGGGACGGGGCTAGCATGGCTGCTGTAGCTTTGAGATATCCATGTGGCGCGTCTGGGTGGCGATGCGGGGGGGAACGTTTTCTTTTTGTTTTTTTTGTTATTGTTTTTTTCTTTTTCCTTGTTTTTTGGGGCTTCTGTTTTTTTTTGGTTTTTCTTTTGTGGCTGGCTCTTTTGCTGGAAGTAGGGCCGTAGCACTACTGAACTGGATGCATCTGAGCTGGATGGATTCGAGCCAAGGATCTGTTCACTAACAGTTTGGTCCGTTCAGGACTCTCTTTTTGTTTTTGTTTTTGTGTTTTTTCAGAGAAAGCCCAGGGGCCAAGTCCCACTAGCAGCGTTGAGCTACCTCAACGCCCGAATCTGGACGTGTTTGTGGAGACGTGCAGTTCAGGAAACTCAACACCACTTCTGCACATCTCCGTCAAAGCGTCCACTTTCAGGCGTTGAGGTAGCTCGACGCTGCTAGTG